GTTTGTGGTGAGGGTAAAAGTTGCAATCTGTGATAATGAAGGAATTTGTTGAAGCATGTGTTTGGATCAATTTCATGTTAACCATTCCACCACCTTGCGTAAGATAGTGATAATAATAATGTTGGATTTGTGCGATATTCTTCACTATTATAGTTATCTTCTAATGGTGATTCATCAGAAGAATCAAAAGATTGGTTATTAGTGGTATTGAGTATGGTAAATGCTACTTCAGAAGGAGGTGATGATATGATATCTGAAGTAGATAGGGTTGAGTCTTTTACTTCAGTCACCATATGCCTGGCCTGCACGGCTCCATAAGGATCAAAGGTCACCTAGTCATTTGTTAGGAGACTGTCATTATTTGACCCTTCCGGGTATCAGGGGTGGCTAATACTTTGAGGACCACCCCAACCTGGTTACCCAGGTCTTTAACGTCCTATCCTCAGATCTTAGACATGTAGCAGAAGACAATGTTTTATTTATATACTAAGGAGTGTTACAAGTTGGTTATTTTTGTTATATTTTGTGTTTGTGTTTGTGCACTTAATATAGATCTTATGTGTGAATTTTTATAGAATGCATATTGTAATTGATAAGCAAGTATTTAGTCCTACTCTAAGTACAAGTGTTTTTGCCCTTATATGGTTTTATCTTGTGTTTACACTGCCTATTCTATTGTGCCTCATGGAAGCACAGTATACCAGTTTGTATTCCTTCATTTTCAGGGCCCCATGAATACCCCTTAGAGATGAATACATATTCGGGACTTCCCAAGTAGGTTTCCATTATCTGATCATCCCCTAGAATTCTATGATCTGTGAACTTATCATGGGTTTGTAACCGGGTTTCCTCGTATACATTTCTATTAGGTTGTACAAACACCTCCGGATCTTCCAGGTCCCGATCTTTCTAATTAAACCAATCCCTGGTACACCATTGGGTTACAGGTTTTTAACCCAATGCAGATAATAGTAACCGTGACACAGAATTAAATTCGAAAATCATCGTCCATAGGATTCGAACTCTCAACCTGCTACTTGGAGAGGGTTACAACTAGACCACTTCACTAAGCCGCCACACCTCAATTGTTAGATATATAAAAACTGTAATAATAATAATCAATTAGTAAATATACCTTTGATCTATGTGATTTATAAATCTATTCATTCTTTGCACTTTAATATTGTCTCTAATTAAATATTTATTCAATCGAATAATCTTCACCTTACAAATTTAAAACTAATAAACTAAGCAAGTTATTTATTGTTTGTCACACAAATAAATATAGTTCATACTCATTTATTATTTTAACAAAAGTGGTTATATTCATATAGTAAAATCAATTTCTCATAATCTAACTTGCCCAACTTCTATAGAACATTTAAAGTGCATAGTAATATATAATAATAAATTTGTATACCATTTGATATAATGAAAGGCAATTACTGTAGTGTTTAGATTGGCTTTGTAAAACTTGGGCCTTTATTTGTAAAAAGCCTGTCAATAAAGTGACAGGGCAAATAAATAGTAAAGAAGCAAAAATTTGGTGGTCTGTGATATTAATTTAATTATCAATGTATAATATACAAATGTAAAGTAAAAAAAATAAAGATGCAAAAAAAAAACCAGTGTCACAAACTTTGCCAATATGCATGTGACTTAGATTCATGTAAGTCGTTACTGATCCGGAGATCAGATAGTATCAGAGGTGCAAATATACTGTAATATATTAGTGATTCAAAAGTCAAAGTGGGTGGCATGATTAATATGCATAATTAATATAGTCATAATTATTATAGTTATTGCATGAATTATGAAGTCATAGGTAAATAATACATTTGAGAATCGGTTGAACGATTGAAAGAAGAATATAAATAGCAAAGCATAATTAATAAAGATAATATCTTTTTCGATTATCAAGACATCATAATAAAAACGTTGCATTCACATAATATCGTAAAAACAAACACCTAAATAAAGTAATAAATAAATAAAGCAAAACCCAAAGTATTTTACAAATGCATGTACATAGTCACAAATAAATAAGTATTCGTACGCGTCCCTTGACACCCCAAAAGCGAAGTTCTAACCAATCAGTCTAGACATTTAGAGGGAAAACCTACCTTTAATTAACCCTGTGACAAAGTAGGACCTGGGCAAATCACTTAGTCTCTCGCCCAACGTCAGAAGAATATTTGAGAAAATCGATTAGTGTAATGGTGTTAATTAATAATAAATACAAAACAGATGACTATGGATAAAACTAAACCTTTCTATTGTGGTGACGAAGGTGAAGATATCAAAAGGTTCTTGCTCAATTTCAAAGCTTATGCTATATCAAAAGACTGGGATGATACCCATAAGCAACAAGTACTGGGTCTATTTGTAGATAATCACTTAAGGCTGTGGATAAGAGGCTTGATCAAGGCCAAGACCACTTGGAGCGAATTAAGGAAAAGTTTTGTTGATGAAGCATTTGCCTCCTATAATATTGAAGAAAAAATAGATAGGTTGATGAACATTAAGCAGATAAAAAACGAATCTATAACTAGCTACACTAATCGATTTGAAGCTCACGCTGAACCAATAAAGGCAGAAATTTGGGAAAGAGAAAAGAAACGTTGGTATATCACCGGGCTCAAGGGAATGCTTAAAAAAAAGTTGGAGGAAAAGTATCCGGAGACGTATGTAAAGACGAAAGAAATAGCTCAAAATATTTAAATGTATAATAAGAACATTGAATATGATATGAAGAAAGCTAATAAGACGCTCTTACAAGAAACACCTCAATCTGACAAAGAGAATATTGAAGTAGCACAATTAACAGAAGCATTCGAAAATCTTAAGCTATGTCGCATGATGGATTGTTCTTTAAATGAATTAGAAGAAGTTAAAAAAATGGTAAACAAACTTACCAAGACGGTAAATGATGTGATGAAGAGCTTGAGGTCGCGAAGAAACTCTGAATCACGTAGATGCTTTACGTGTCAGAAAATAGGCCACATTTCTTGTAACTGCCCTAATAAGCAACAAGATAAGGGCGGAGTAAGTAAAAGAAAGGAGATAGAACAAACAATTAAAAGAACTGATGTATGATATTTTGAATTTGTAAATAGTTGAGTTTATCGACCAGTGAGAAAGATCGTAAAAGAGAAAGAATCTATTGTTGAGGATTGTTTGAGGATTGAAATTGATTCTGATCATGCAGTTTTTGATATAAAACCATTGGAAAAATGGCATTATATCGAGGTTGAAAATACTCACAATAAAAAAGAGAAAACTGTTAGTAAAAATGACATGATGGCAATACCTCAACCCCCAAGTCAAGAAAACAATGATGTACATACCAATGGCTGAGCTAGTCCAAGAACTCGATGTGTTGAAGAAAATCGCCGAGTTGGAGATAACTATAACTTTAGGACAACTATTCAAATGGTTTCCTATAGCAAGAACAGAAGTTTTAAAATCTCTGACGTGGCACAAGAAGGAGAGTGATGTGATGCAAGTGGATGTGCAAATTAGCCTCGTCAAAGCAGTACTAGAAAAGACTAATTAAAGTTATAACAAAATAGTACCTACACGTAACGCTCATATCAATGGTGATGTGGTTAAGGTTCCCATAGATCCAGGATCCTGATTGAACCTAATACACAAGGACTATGCAAAGAGAAGAGGCTTTGAGTGGCAAGAAGTAGAAGGAAAAGGAAGAATGGCTGACGATCAAGTGAGTAAGTTTGTTGGATATATACCTGGAGTTAAAGTTGAAATGGAAGGAGTGAAAGTTAGCAAAGGGTTTTACGTGATGGAAAGCACAAGTTTTGAGGTACTTTTGGAGATGCCTTAAATAGCTAAGGTACATTGTGAACTGAAGTGGCGAGATAACCAATACTGGTGTACTGTTTTGGCCCCGGATAGAGAATCTTCGTTCATCATTTCAATTGTACCAAAAGAGTGGTCTAGACATTTATATAATGAATGTTTGGGGAAAGATGATGATGATGAATTGAGTAATGAAGAGGATGTGTTTATGGTAAGAATGTTGGATGAAATTGAGATTGAGGAATCAGGTATAAGTGATGTATTGAAAGAAGCTATAAACAAAGACGAAATTGAAGTCAGAGAAGTCTTACCTATAAATGACCAAGAGTTAATGAATACCGAGTATGGGGGATGAATTGTATATTGGGGCCCGGCTAGTGAAAGAGATGATAGAACAATCCAGGGATTAGTTAGATGTACTGGTCATTATGAGATTAACAAAAAAGAATTGGTTCAATATTGATGTGGGGTCTGATGTCTCTAAAATGCAAAAAGAGACACTAAAGCGTCAATTGATCAAAGAGGTACCTGAAACTTTCGCTTTTAGTTTATCTAAAATAGGAAAAACGAATTTAGTGGAGTATCAAGTTAGAACAAGCGATGTAAAAGTTCTACTTTTATGCTTATGACCAATAAGGATTAATAATCCTAAAAAAGCTCAGGCGTTTGAAGACCATTTGAAAAAATGATCAAATGGGGGCTACTTGAAGAAGAGATGGGCGAGTATGCTTATCATTGTTTCTCTGTTAACAAGAAAGAAGGTGATACAGGTAATATGCATGCTGTGGGCAATATAAAACCCCTTAATAAATTTATAATTAAAGATAGTTACCCTCTTCTCCTAATTTGCGATATATTAGAAAAGGTGGTGGGACATGAGTGGTATAGTAAGATAGGTGTATTGGCAAATAAAGATCAGAGAGAAAGATTGTGACATGGTGGTGGTTTCGACATCTTTAGGAGTGTTGAGGTACACGGTAATGTGCATGGGGCTGAAAAATGCAAGCGAGACATATCAAAGACTAATAGATGAAATATTAAAAGACGATGAATTGAGAGAGGTGGCACTTACTAGGATGATGTAGAAATTTGAACTAATGGAAGTGTTGAAGATCACATAGAAGTCTTTGTAAAACTCGCTAAATATTTTAAGGAAGCGGGCATGACATTTGCCGCGAAAAAGTGCCACATATTATATAAAGAAATTCTGATGTACGGATATTTAATTAGCAAAAATGGTATACGTGTTAATCCCAAAGAATAAGCAAAATATCGGAGTGGCCAAGACCTACTGACGAAACCGAAACACAATCATTTCTTGGCATCATGAACTATTATCAAAGATTTGTAAAGAACTTTAGCAAAATAGCCACGCCGTTGACTGAGTTAATGAAAAAAGAGGTTAAGTTTCGATGAAATAATGAACAAGATACCGCTTTTAAGAAACTTAAAGACATAATTACCCAAGACATAATTCTGAAAGGCCCGGATTGGCAAAAAGCAAAGGAAGGGTTATGTCCCTACCAAATGTATACCGATGCCAGTAATGTTTTTGTTGGAGCGGTTCTTAAACAATTGGATGAAAAAGAAAATATGAAGCTGGTTAGTTTTGATTCACAAAAATTGAATAGTCATGAAATTAATTATATGGTATCTGAAAAGGAATGCTTAGCTGTGGTATACAGCTGTAAAGCAAATGAGAGGTATGTTGGCAATACAACGTTTGATATTTGGACTAATCATCAAGCCTTGGAGTGGCTTTTCAATAAAGTAAAGTTGAAAAGGCGTTTGATGAGATGGGTTCTAGCTCTACAGACTTTTGAGTTTAGAATACATTATAGACCTGGTCGTAAGCATGGGAATGCTGATGGATTGTCAAGATGAGCCGAAGTAATTGAAAAAGAAAAGGTTACTGATGAAGAGTTTATCAAGAGAATGTTGATGCATGTAGATGTGGATAATTTAGCGGTGAGAGACCTGGTAGAAGTAGAGTATTATTTGAAGAATTTTTGTTGGAAAAGAACAGTATCTACAAAAGATTTGCCTCGACTTCAAAGAAAAATAAAGAGGTTCTGTTTGATCGATAATGTAATGTTTGAAGGAGGAAAAAAGAACTTACCACTGAGATGGGTAATATGTGATAATAAGAAAAAGAATACCATCCTAGCAGCTAGTCATGAAGGTATTTTCGAAGAAAGAAGCCATAGAGGCATACATGGGACTGTTAGAACTATACTTTGAAAATATAAGTGGGCGTATGGAAACGTATATAGTGATGTGAAAGAATATGTGGTGACTTGTCTGATTTGCTAGTGCTGTCGAGAACAGGATGTTAAAGAACCAATTCATGTTGTTAGAACGAGTTGGATTTTCTATAAAGTATTTGTAGATTGTATTGGACTATTATCTAAGTCTGCCACAGGTTATTTTTATATAGTTATCACAGTAGAAGATCTAACGGGATACATGGAAGCTCAGCTGTTACAAAAGAAAATGCCAAGAGCATTGCCAAATTTGTTTGGGAAGACATAATAACGTGACATGGATGTTTTTCTGTGTTAGTATCAGATCGAGGAACAGAGTTCAAGAATGGCTTACTCGAAGAACTTATCTCACGGTTAAATGTAGCCAATGCTTCATTGCTAGTTATCATCCTGAAGCAAATAAATGAGCAGAACAAACGGTGCAGAAAGTTTCCCATGTATTGAGAAAAATCTGTGCCAAAAGGCAAAATAAATAGCATGAGTATGTTAGAGGGGTGGGTGGTATGGGCTATTAACATTACAGTAACAGATTTAGGTTATTCCCCATTCTACCTGGTGTATAGACGCAATGCGATAACACCGGTAGAATTGACTTTAGAAAGTTACCAAATGTATATGGGAAAAAGGAAGTGGACCACAGAAGAACTCTTGGAATATCGAATTCGTCAAGTAAAGAATGTAGTAGTAGATTTGGATCGGGCCAGAACGAATAGAGATAAACTCCGTCACCACTAGAAACACTTTCATGATCAGCATGCTAAAGTAAAAGATAAAGTGAATATAGGAGATCTAGTGTTAGTGTATGACTCTACCCTTAATACAGCCTTGTCGAGAAAGCTCGACTACTGATGGCTTGGACCTTACATTGTTAGAGAAATCGGTGACAAAGGACAATTTTATATCAACGAAGTTGATGGAAGTCCTTTTAAGGACCCTGTCACGTGCAATCGAGACAAAAAATTTAAATCGAGAGCTTTAAATGAAAATGATGATTGTGATCGAGATTTAGGAGTAGATCCCGAGGACGGTGATCTAAGGGGGTATAGCTTGTGTCACGAACTTTGCCAATATGCATGTGACTTAGATTCGGGTAAGTTGTTACCGATTCGGGGATCAGGTGGTCAAAGTGGGTGGTATGATTAATTTGCATAATTAATATAGTCATAATTCCGTGTTTATTATAGTTATTGCATGAATTATGAAGTCATAGGTAAATAATACATTTGAGAATCGGTTGAACAATTGAAAGAAGAGTATAAATAGCGAAGCATAATTAATAAAGATAATATCTTTTTCGATTATCAAGACATCATAATAAAAACATTGCATTCACATAATATCGTAAAAACAAACACCTAAATAAAGTAATAAATAAATAAAGCGAAACACAAAGTATTTCACAAACGCGTGTACATAGTCACAAATAAATAAGTATTCGTACACGTCCCTTGACGCCCCAAAAGCGAAGTTCTAACCCATCGGTCTAGACATTTAGAGGGAAAACCTACCTCTAATTAACCCCGTGACACCAGAAATCGCAAAAAAAAACTTATAAATCGCAAGAGAAATTGGTCTTTGTTATTATATAAAGTTTTCAACACAAAAATTTAGATATATTCTTTCTATTTTGTACTGTATTGGTGCAAACAATTTTTAGACAAAAATTAGGATATTGTTATTGAATTAGTCATGAAACCGCCAAATTTTTGTGCCATCACTCTGAAGGGCAATTATTATTGCTAGATCAGGTAGCTTTATGGAATCACATGTTTCTAGTTGACATTTATAGAATTCGTGTATGGCCTTATTATATCTTGTTAGACTCTAGTTAATATGATAATTGCATATAATTGGAAATGGGTTACTATATCTATTAGAGAACAGGTAATGGAAACCAGGAGTAATCATATGGTATTTAGGGGCTTTTAGTCAATAGAGAAGATTATCTTTCCTTTTGATATCGCTCGCCTTGTAGTGAAGGCTGGCTCTATCGTCTCACGCTCTTAGTAATTCATAAACTAAGAACACTTGTGTAGCAAGTTATTAGTGGGTGCTGTTAGGCCATTCGTAGCGCAAGGATCCCATATTTGGCAATTAGGCTTCACTGCCGTAGGCAATGCAGGAACTTCAGTTGCCCCACGGCTGCCATAGGCAGTACATGGGCCTCATGTTTGGTGGCTAGGCTCCGTGGCTGCTGTAGCAAGTGCGAGGATCTATGTCTTAGTTTTCACTTACGTTGCCAGATAATATTATATAACCGATTCTCTCTATAGCTATGTGATTCATTTTGACTACAATCTGGCTACGGTATGTTTAGTGGTCAGAAAGATGTAATGGGCTATGATATGTGTGTGTTGATTGTTTAGGATGAAATATCCCTTTGGAGACAGACATTTTTGGCATAATTAATATAGTGCTTGTAAAGCCTGAAAATGATAGCGTATGGAATCCCATAGTAATAATTTTCAAATATTGGACCTTTATTAGTAATTATTTTCACTTTGGCCCTTCTGTAATAATTTTTAATTTTGGGCGCTTATCCTTAATTTTCCTGTACGTATAAAATTTAGATGGGATAAAATGCGCATGAATGCGCACGATTGAGGAATCATGCGCACGCATGAAACCTATCTCTAAATGCATACCCCTGCATTAATCTGTATCCCTTGTATTAATAACCCGAATAATTTATTGAATAATTCGGTTATCCATCTGTTAATCCATTTCATTCAATTATCTATTAGAGACTGGATATTCAATAGATAATTAGGAACTCTAGAAAAAAAGAAATTTTACTAAAACTTTTGCTTTTTTTCAGATTTTTAAATTTTTTCAAATTTCAAGCAAAGTTCTCTCAACGACTATCTAATTAAATTCGATAGATTTTTTTTTAATTTTAATTCTATTAACTTGGAGAATTAAAATAAAAAAAAAATAATAATAATTAAGTATTCACCGAGAAATATTGGCTTAAAGTTTTAAAAAAAACCTTTAAATTTTAAAAGGAACTTCATGGTCGATCATCCTCCGACGTACTTCGACTCGGAATTTTGAGATCCTCCTGTAAAAAAGTCAGCCTGGGCCGGCCGGCTGATAAAAGAAATGCTAGAATTAATTCTCTTATATGGCTAAAAATTTGCTAAAAATCGGCTAAATAAAGATGTAAACATTCATTAGTTGGCTAATTTAGGTGATAAAT